CAAAATTGGGGCCCCGGAGACGGCTCAGTGGATAAGTGCCTCTCTGGCAAGCGCAAGGGCCTGAGTTCAATCCCCAGTTCTGAAAAAAAAAAAAAAGAAAAGAAAAGAAAAGAAAGAAAAAAAAAAAAAAAAAAAAAAAGAAAATGATGAAATGTCAAATACACGCATCAGGAAAAAGTCCTTTAGGTTGAGGAGATAGCTTAGTGGAGTAAGTGCCTGCCTGGCAAGTGTAGGGTCCTGAGTTCAATCCCCAGTAATGGGGGAAAAAAAAGAAAAAATGAAAAATTCCTTTAATTAATGAAGAAAGTTTCTCATTATTGAAGGGAAGCTTAGAGCCACTGCTCAGTACATAACCTTCATTGAAGGTACAGAACGTTCAACAGAAGGAAGCGGAGTAGACAGTGAGGTGGCCGCCAGAGCGCATGGAACAGATAATAATTTTAGGACACCGTGATAACCTTCTCCCACCAGAGCAAGTCGTTTACAGAATATAGGAAAGAGGCTCCAGTTGATCCCTTGGGGCCACTCTTCTGGGACAATGAAGCGTGCTCTGCCTGCCCTGAGGTGGCAGTCGTTCTGTTCTTACGTGGAACAACAGGACCAAGTTAGACCACGGGGTTGTGTCTCTATCCTGCGAAGACTGCTGGAGGTAAGTTAAAACTTTTTGTTTTTCTTGCAGTACTGAGGAATCAAACCCAGGGCCTCGTGCAAGCTATGCAAGAGCTCCACCGCTGAGCCCCAGCCTCAGCACCATTCCAGCTCAGTGGTAATTATCCTCCAGGCCCACCCTGGGTCCCGTGTGCTTGGCTCCACCAGTGGGAACTTTCTCACCGTGTGTTCTCCTTACTGGGTGAGGTACCTGCATCCCTAAGAAGACTGGAAGTTGTTGAGGGTAGGAATTATGCTTTATTTGGATTTTTATGTCTAGATTGTGACAGGGTACCTAGCACATAGACAAATTAAAAATGTAAATTAGTAACTGTTTCTGACCTCAAGGAAAATAGTGAGGGCAAGGAGTGATTCCCAGTGGCTGGAATCCCCAGTGATGAACGCACTATCTCTGCTTCTCAAGTATAGTCCACAGGGTCAGCAGCACCAGAGCACTGGTGAGGTGAGTGAGTCTTTGAACACACTCTTGACCCCAGAATCTTGAACTGGGGGTGAGGCCCAAAAATCTGCATCTTAAAATTTTCAGGGCCAGCCAAATAGCTCAGCGCCTGCAAGTAGGCACAGGGTTCAATTCCCAGGGCCTGCCATGCCACGTCCCCCGCCCCCAGACTGGGCGTGGTGGCGCACACCTAGTATCCCAGCACTTGGGAGGCTGTAAACAGGAGAATCACTGCAAGTCCAATCTAGTAATAAGACCCTGAATACCCTGTAAACCCTTCCCTAAAATGCAGGGGGGAAAAAAGGGCCGGGGAGATGGCTCAGTAGAATAAGCACTTCCCTAGCAATCGCAAGGGCCTGAGTTCAATCACTGGTTCCGCAAAAATAAATAAATAAATAAATATAAAATTAACTTTGAAAAAACAAAACAAAAAAATTAAAAGAAAATAAGCCTAGGAATGGAGCTCAGTGAAAAGATCCTGGATTCAATCCTTTTTAAATAAACAGGTTGCCAATATTTGAGACTGCAAAGCTTACCTGTCATCTGTCTGCAAGATTCTCATTCTCATATTGTATCAGTCATGCAATGTGAACTGGAAAACTGAAAAAAAAAAAAAAAAA